TGCAGCCTGTTGCTCAGGGGAGGGGGCAGCCTGTTGCTGGCAGCAGGCGTGGGGAGGCACTTTTCCTCTGCCCGGCAGCTCTGCGGGACCCCAGTCGGAGCCGGCCCGAGGAGGAGGAGGATCCTAGGACCCAGGTGAGCGAGCCCCGGGAATGCTGCTGCGCATGTGCGGGAGTTGCCTCACCCTGTTCGTATCTAGGGATCCGATGTAAGTCGGATCCACGTAAGTCGGGGACTGCCTGTACTCAAATAGTTACAACAGGATGATAAGAACAATTAGCACCTCCATTGTTTGGTCGGTAGGTTAAGTCATTGGATGTGGAAGATAGTGTGCGAGCCAGCCAATGTCCTTGTTCATACCATTTGCATAAGTATTACACTTGTAAATGAAGTTAAGTTCCAATCCTTCTCTGTGTATTTGGCTTGTGAAATTGGCCTGAAACGAAAGGGTGACTTGGAGATCCATTAATGAGTGTCCAGGTAAATTAAAGTGTTCTCCAACAGGTTTTTGTGTATTGCCTTTTTGGATATCTGATTTATGTCCATTAATTCTTTCCCATAGAGACTGTCCAGTCTGGCCAATATACATGGCAGTGGGGTATTATTGTCATTTGATGGCATAAATCACATTAGTGGATGTGTAGTTAAATGAGCCTCTGATCCACTGATCACTGGTGGCTGATGTGGTTGGGTCCAATGATAAAATCGCTTGTATAGATGTGTGGGCAGAGTTGACAGCAGGGCTGATTTCAGGGATGGGTTCCTTGATGATTATAATCAGGGCTTGACGAATGGCGGGCAAAAGCCGCTCACCAGCTCCGCACTGCGCATGCGCAAGACCCACATTGCGCATGCACGTGCAGCAAATGAACGGGGCGCCCGGCTGATTGTCGAACCCTGATTATGATGCAGGTGTGTTGCGTGGTTATTGGAAAGAATTTGTTTGAGGTTAGGGGGTTGTCTGTAAGCGGGGATTGGCCTTTCCCCCAAGATCTCTGAGAGTGAGGGGTCACGAACTAGGTAGTTTGGACTAGGCTTCCTAGTCCGAACTACCGTTACTCCTGGAGAAATGAAAAACCCAGATCAATAGAGCCAAAAAAGTACCCAGGCATTAATTTGCAAGTCGGGAGGCAAGCTTGAAAGGCTCACTTTCTTTTTATTAATCATTTGTGCAGTCCAAGTATAGGCCCACTAACGAGGGGATGGGGGGGAAAAGGGGACAACTACCCCTGGGCCCAATGAGCCAAAAAGGACCGGGGGTTCCTGCTACTGCAGTAGTGGCAGGAGCTGGAACCTTGGATCCTTTAAATCGCTGCCAGAGCCCCAAGCAATGCACTCCAGGTGCCTCTGAGGGCTGGCTTGGGGGGTGGGGAAATGTCACACAGCGCTATCCAGGAAACACTGAGGGCTGGATGCCCCAGTTCCGCCCCTTCTGCCTGAGGCCCCGCCCCTTCCAGGAGCACAAAGCTGGGGGCCTCACCAGCTTGTCCAGAGGCCGGGCATGTCTGTCAGTCCCCTGGCAGCTAGCAGAGCACGTTTTATTACACTGTTGAACATGGCTTCCTTTAATAGTGTTTAAAGAAAAAGAAAAATGAAACCAGCCAAGTTTTCTGCCAAAACCTTGAGCATTCTGTTAGGAAAGTGGATGTGCATATCACTGTTCAGAGCATGCTGTGCTTATGCATCAGATAAATCAAGTGGTTGGAACAGACTGTATCTCCTAATAGTCACAAGGGTGGTACTCCTGTCTCTGGGTGTGTAGCTGTATTCTAATGAAGACACTGAGTCAGTGATCCTTTCACAGTACACAAAGTGATAAGGTACGTGACTGTTGAGCCAGGTTGCAGTAAACTGGCAATGTAATGAGCATAAAACAATTACACCAGAACCTGCATTGCCTCTTGATAGAGTGGCAGACAATATTCTGAGATCTGTCTCCTGCTTCTGCCTGTAATTGGATTATCCTCAAAGAGTGAAACAGAAGCAGCCTGAGGAGCAAGCCAGGACTGTATTCAGCTGGTGCCATGGCAACTAGGTCTTCATACTCTTTTTGGCTGTCTCAAAAACCCAAATAGCTTGCCAGTGTGTAAGTCCATCCTCCTCTGCCTCCTCCCTAAGCGTAGAGCATTCGTATGTCTTTATAAACCTGGCACCCACAAGAGTGATTGTAAGGTGTGCATAAGGAACTGGCAAGGAGGAAAAGGCTGTGGAAAATGCTTAGATGAGTTGGATACCGGATATATGTTTA